TAGGAGACTAATTAATACCCTTAAAACCCCTAAAATGTACATAAATGGTAATTAGGTATATAATAGGTAATTATATTAAAAGTTAAGCATGGAGGATAATATGTTTACTATATGACATAGGAATGTAAAAATCCCATTCTGAAATCACACATACATTGTTGGGCTGAAGGACTCCTCAAATACAAGGCCCAATAGTTAATTCCTGATTAGTTTTTAGCTTTACTATTTTGGGCCCAATTTGTATAGAACCCGGGCCCAGTTAGTTTTGTAATAAGTCATGTTTGACTATATACATCAACTGATTTTTTCTAGAAGGACACAGAAGAAACGTAATAAAAATATCTTTCCTTTTCTATCTCTTTTCTCTCTCGTTTTAGGGTTTTCTTCTCATTTGAGATTTCTCCGATTGACTCCGATAATGGAGTCTAACATGGTATCAGAGCTCTTCAATCGATCCGCCTCACTCACAGCTTTCGTCCGATGGTAACCATCAATTTTGGTTCGCCGGTTTCGTTCAGATCGAAGAATCTCCTGTCAGAATCTTCTGAAAACTTCTCTAAGTTCTTCGTCTCTTTCCCGTTATTAGAAGACCTTAGCTTCTTCAGGTGTGCGAAGAAGGAGGGTAAAAGTTCTTTTCTTTTACTTGCATGTGAAAATCTAGGTGAAATTAGGGCATTTTGTCATACTTGTGAAATTTGAGATCTGGACTACTTCTGTGATTGTCTGCAAATTATTAGTATAGAAATTTATTTGTGTGTGAATATGGGAACTCCTTCGTCTTCTACTGATGGTTTTGTTGGATGAAATGAGCAATTTTTTACGGATGGCATGGATAGACCATTTCTGAAAGTTGAGTGGCATTTTTAGGCATTTTCCCTATAAAATTTAAGAAGACTTCTTATATGACTCACCATCAATATTCACATTAAATTAGTAATTACATTCCTTTAAGATTGCAGGAATTAATGTTTACCCTCGTACGTAACTCTAGTAGTATTTGTATTTTCAATGCTCATATACGTTGCACATGCAAAGAGCATCTTGATGAATTTATTATGGTGGCCTTTATATTTACATTTTCATACGAAAATGTTATAAAGTGGTATTTTTTATTGAGGATAAAACGGATATTTAATTTTTTATGGGCATTTTGGTAATTCAACTTTGACGGTTGGAGCTTTCTACTTTTTTATAATACTAGTATCTATGAACGTGCGTTGCACGTTAATAATGACACGTGATAATTTAAATATATATTTATAGGAAGGAACACCAAAATTTAATTAATGATAGAAATTTTATGTATAATAATACATGAATTTAAAATAAAAGAACATCATCAAACTTACACAAATGATCAATTTTGTCATGTTAGTTAGATAATTATGTATTATAGTTTAAAAGTATTTAATGTGATGGTATCTTAACAAACACTTCTTTGTAGATAATATTTTTTTGTGTATGTTTCCTCCTAATGCTTTGGCTGCTCTGCCTTAACCAAAACCCTTGTTGTCGATAGTCTCGCTATACCAGAGTCTGACTCTTTACAATATAGTATAGAAAACTTGTTCTTGTTCATGATTTAGCTTTTATTGTGCTTCCTTAGACATTTGTATGACATTTTGATTCTTAATACTATACTAACCTTTTTGACTTTGTGTTCTATTTTTTTTATTCTAATGCTTTTTTTATGGAATAAATTTATGTACCCTAAGAATGTTTTTTTAACTTCAAAAATAATTTTACTCATAATTCCATTTTGCAATACTCTTAGTACGTATTATAGTTAAGATTCCTTCAAAAAGTCTGACATGATCTTCTTATTATGTTTTCAACCGCTGTTACGTCCATCAGTTTTTATTACACTGTAAATATTATTTAGAATATAAAATAAGTACTCCCTCTGTTCCAGTTTATGTGAACCTATTTCCTTTTTAGTCCGTTCCAAAAAGAATGATCCCTTTCTAAATTTGGAAACAATTTAGTTTAAACTTACAATTCTACCCTTAATGAGAAGGTTTTATAACCACACAAATACTCTGGGCCCTTTTTAACTTGTTTAGGACCACAAATTTCAAAAGTGTTCATTTTTTCTTAAACTCCGTGCTCAGTCAAACAGATTCACATAAATTAGAACGGAGGAAGTAGTAATTAATTGGTATTTCTATCACAAACAGGTGTTTTATGAAAGAAGAGAAATTTATTTTGTACGGCTAAGCTATGAAAATTAATTTATGTCAAGAAGTACTTCTCAGCAAAAGTGCTTCTTGAAAAAAGAGCTTCGGAACAGTTGGCCTCTTTGTTTTTAGTTGGTTAGTTTAAACACAAAAAAAATGGAAACAGAAAATTCGTTAAAATCTAATTAGGATCTCATAATTACCATAAATAAATTAGGTTAAGGATGCAAGCAAATATTGAAAAGGGCGAAACAAAAGTAACTGGTAACGTAGATTTGTCATCAGCTCGTGATTTAATCAATATTCCCAGGCAGCTGATTAATTATCACCTTAATGACTCACTGAAACTTCAGAGTCCTACTTTTCATTATAAAAAAAACAAAGAAGAAAAGTTGGACTCTGTGAGGGATAAATAAAACTGTAAGGAAATGATAACAGAAGACAAAAATACCTTTCCGCGATCCTCTTGGAGAAAAATTATTCTTCCATTTTTGGCACAAAAACAAGCCAAAAGATCTACGGAGCAAACTTATAAATAGAGCAAAGAAAAATCAATCAAAAGTTCTCAGTTCAATAAAAGCATAGAACATGATACATATCAAGCTTACAATAATAAAGCTATAACTTAAGCCGCGGACCTTCAAAATTTTAGCAAATTGCAATTATGACGAGCCTTTGGGTTTGCTTACCGTACAATCTTCTGCTTTTAATTGACTTGCAGCTTGGAACGAAAAAGAAGATCAATATAAAGGTTTTTTGGTATCTTCAAGTGGAAGACTTCTAATATTACTTGGACAGTATCCAAAAAAAAAAGCATATAATAATTCTTAAATTATCAAATCTTGTGACAATTAACTTCTTAATTGAATTTCGTTCCAACAAGGAGAAGAACCCAACTGAGAGTCATTATCGATCTAAAATTCTACCTCTAGTATGTCCTTTTTTATTTTACCAAAAACCCTAATCATTTATATTAAAGATTGATACAAATAAGGGTATAAAGGTCGATCAATAATTAATATGAATTATTCGTACTTTTATAATAATATAAATAGATATAGATAGATAAATAATATAATAATATAATATGATATGAAATAATATAATATGATGATAGGAATAGTTACACCTCGTAGTCATTAATAAACTTTGTCAAGATAGAGCAATTAATTAAAATCTCTTCCTTTCCTTCACTGTCCCCTTGGAATCTTTTTAAGAACTTCGACGTGATTTTTTATTATGTCTTACCTTGAAATAGAGCTGTCAATATAGGCCGGACAAGGTTAGCCTAGCCTAGCCCAGCCTATGTGAGTTTTAGTAATTGACGGGTTGGGCTGGGCTAGCCCACTATTTTAATGGGCCTTACAATGGGCTATCCACCTTAGCCCTATGTGGCCTGGGCCATTATTTTTTTAAAATATAATTTTATATTTTCTTTAAGTACTAACCTAAAAAAAGATAAATACTTAAAATTTAAAAAATATCTTATTGAAAAAATTTCGCAAAACTTAATACAACTTTTATACTGTTCCAATATGTCAAATAAACACTCAAAAAGTAAAAGACAAGACTATATTTCATTTACTAAAAGTCAAAATCAAAACAAACTATTCAAGAGAACGTCCATGATGCTTATGGATATCCGACACATCATCTTCATCAAATACATTTGAATCCGCACGTGACATGATTGTCTTAACATCTTCACTTTCATCTACATCTACAATTCATATGCAATATTAATTAGTTAAATATTAAGAATAATAAAATTTTAAAAATTAATAATATTCAAATTCACATAAAAAAATATAAAACCGTGTAGCCAATTCCGAGTAGCAACAAGTGTTTTGACATTTTCATGATAGATACAACTTATGCATTTGTTAAGAACACACCACTTACAGTGTCATATACTTTTTATATATTTAAAATAAATATTTTTATTAGGTCCACGGCCCGGCCCGGCCCAGCCAGCCTCATGGGTCACGAGCTTACTCAGGCCGGACTTAAAAGCCTCGTTTTTAAAGGGGGTCCAAAAATTCTAGCCCAACCCCACTAAATCACAGGATGGGCTTGCCCAACGGGCCAAACCCATATTGACGGCTCTACATTGAAATAGTTCACTAGCCTAGGCTCAAGCATCGTCCTATTTTTCAAATGCGTTACTTTTAGGGGTCGTTTGGTAGGGTGTATAAGAATAGTGCGGAATAAGGTGTATTAGTAATGCATGGATTAGTAATGCATGTGTTAGTAATGCAAGCATTAGTTATGCAAATATTGTTTCTTATCTATCGTTTGGTGTGATGTATTAAAATTATAATGCATTGCATAATTTTAAAAAAAAATAGTTGCTTACAAAAATGCCCTCCATATTCTCTAGCTTTAAGAGACTTTAAGGACAATTTTGTCTTTAACCATGCTAATGCATGCATTAAAGCCTTGGTATTACTAATGCCATGGTTTTCTATGTATTACTTATGCATAGGATAATGCCAAGTATGATGTAAGTATTAGTTATACACAAGTTGAAAAAAGGTACCAAACAAGGTATTAGTAATGCATAGAGCTAATGCTTGCATTATTTTTTCTAATACCTCGTACCAAACCACCCCTTATAGTATATGTATGTAAAAAGTGAAGAACATGTGTATCAGTATCACTATTCCTTCTAGTATTTTGTGGGTTCTCTGGAAGGAAAGAAATTAAGATTTTTCGAAGGAGAACTGACTCTTTGTATAGTCTGAAATATATAGGTGTTTATAACAACTAGCTATGTGGTGCAATCTCAAGAATGTTTAAGTACATACTAATTGACAGCTCATCTGGCACAAATTTTGTAATCTCCCACCAATATCTTAATGCTGGTTTCAGGTTTCTGCTCATTAATATAAATTCTTCTGTTACTGATTTTAGGAAGTTTAAGGTGATAACAGAATCATACTACAACAATGAAAGAAGGTTCAAAATTAGCAAAATCAACCAGAATTTACAGGCCAGTCTCCTAGGAAGCAGCAGCTACTGCTTCTGTTGTTTTCTCCTTCTCTTTGACTGCTTTCTTCCAGTTTTCTGCACTATCGATGATTTCCCCAGTTTTTATGAGGTAGCGAACCCTTTTTCCATTGTCTAGTGTTTTATGACCCACCCGACTGGCTACCTTCTGCTCTTTCGAGTAAAGCATCACGTTTGAGCTGTGAATAGGAGCTTCAATCTGAAATTACGTTAACACAAAAAGTTACTTTCTTGGTAGGTCAAGGGTTTAGTCAAGACCAAACGAAAAGCTCAAGAACACAATTTTCAGGCAAGTTAGAGAAGAGAGGAATCAAAATAAAACCTTGACTATCTGGCCTGGTTCATCCTCACTCCTACTCTTCACATGCTTGGTTTTCAAGTTCACGTCTTTTACTACTACTTTGCTGTTGTGCTTGATGATCTCAGTGATCTCCCCAACCTTACCTTTATCATGGCCGGATATTACCTTTACTGTATCTCCCAACTTAACATGCATTTTGTGTAGTACTGGAAGGCTGTTTGGCTTACACTCTTTCCGCTCCCATCGCTTAAGCTGCAAAATAGACATAAAAAAGATTGTTATTATTCAATGATAAAACTAATTGTAATCACAGATACTGATATTTCAGCTACAGAAATATCATACTCCCGTTGCAAGTGATATATCAGTTTCCTAACAAGTAACAATTAGTCCCCAAGATCAGCAATAGAAAACGTGGCAATTGTTAAAAACTGTTATTGATTTAGTTTAAGCACTTTCCTCATTAGGTCATAAGTCATAAAAGAAGTGCATGACCATATAGCAGTAACCCTATAAAAGTAGCTGCAGCAAAAATATTCTTGGACACAATTACACAAATATTAAAAGACCAGAAAATGAACAAGATACCAACCTTTGCTTGAATCAGACATGGACCTTCTGTTGATTTGACCTGCACAGTATCATATGGAGATCATCATTCAAGTGGCGAAAGATTATTCTAAGTTTGCTGTTCGATGCACCAAAAATTGGCAAATTGTGTAAAGCACGTATCGTAACCAAAGAGGACAGGGTAGACAATTGCAATGAAGAGAGTTAGTGCAATAAGAGCAACTGAGCAAGTGCATTTTCTGGAGACAAATCTCATTCCATATTTTGCTTTCTATTGCTTATGATTTTACGGGCATGTATGCAACAATTTTATCAGTGTTTGTGATCCGTCATGGTGAACATGTCGGAAAGATAGCAAAGATATGACAACAGTTGTATTATCGAAATACATAAAAGAAATGTTCCTTTAAGGACTCGTGTAAAAATAATAATAAATGGTACAGCAAAGTTCATCAGCGGCATAGCATCTTAGCACAAGTGTTCAAGTATCTACGCGCAACTTCTCCAATCAGATGCACACTTCTCCAATCAGATGCACACTGAATCAAGAAGTAATACAACTAGAATGGTCGAGCATGTTCTATCGTCATATTTGACTAGGTGCAGAGTTTAAGATATTAGTTTGACTTATATATTACATTAGTGATGATAGATAAGGATGTCAAAGCAATGGTTGAGAAGTTAGTTTAATAGAGAAAACATCATACTATTAAAGTATATAAGTGTTAATCATGTTAATTATTTTTATAATTAAAGCTGAATAGTTAAAAATATTAGATTCTTTAAAGTAGTGAAGGTAATATCAATGTTTTAAAAGGCGGGGGCGTGAGGCGAGACGTTTTACCTCTGAAGAGGCGAGTCGTAAGCCCTGAGACACGGGGCGTAAGTCCCACAGATCTTTAAATTTTACTAATTTTAAGAATTTTAAGATAGTATAAAATAAAAAATAGTTATAAAAATTACATTAAATCACAAAATTATAACAACTAATCTAATTAAAATACTTATAAATTATAATTCGACTATGAATAATACGAAAAGTATGACATATATCATAATATGCAAATTAGCTGCAACGTCATACAACTTAAACAATAAAAGTAATGTATTCGGTATGAAATCTTATATGTATCTCTTAACGAGTAATGAATCTTGAAAGAATTTCGATATTATAATTTGATATTTTTTTAAATATTCCTTTTATTTAGTATGCCTTTAATTTGAAAGAGAATTTATATAAAAACATAATTCACAGTTTAAATATGATTCTCTAGCATCATTTATTTTTAAGTTTCAACAAGTTAATAAAGTGACACATAATTTACCATACTATACCATGATAACTAATTATTTGTAAATAGTTGTGCTAGCTAATACTGAGCTATTAAATTAATAAGTATTGTATCTCGTAAACGCGAAAAAAATAATATTTAGAAAAATAATTATAAAAATTGATGGACTATTATACAATAAAGACATAACAAAAGTTAATAAATAAATACTTTTTAAATGAAAGATTTATTTAAAGTTTACTATCATAGCAGTCTTAATGGATAACGTGCAATAATTTTTGTTTTAATTATGACATAAAATACTGTCAACTTAATGATTTATGATGAAGAAAAAAAAAGTAATTTTGAATAGCCAACGATTTATTAAGAAAATTTGAGGATTTACAAGGTTAGTTACAAACAATTGCATAAAGTTCTATTAGGCGAGCCCAGTACGCTGGGCGTTGGGCGTGTCTGGGACGTAAGTCCCGAAGGCCGAGGCGTAAGTCTCATGGAACTAAGCCCCACATATTAGCCCAGGGGCGCTTTACGAGTGATCCGCACCTGGGCGAGTCCCGGGCGAGTCCCAATTCCGCCTTTTAAAACAGAGGGTGATATACAAAAAAAATGGAAGTAAACCTTTTGGAACTTTGGAAAAGGAAAGAGTGTCAATAAATTGGAACTGATGGAGTAAGTTTGAGTTAATCAATTAGCATATGCTAAATACACTTTTAGACATATTTTTTTTCAAAAGCCATTTTGAGGAATCATTGCAGGGGAGCTTAGGCGTCTTTACATAGTATTAAAATTTTCACTTGCAGCTAGATATATACTCGTCCAAACATACTGAGCAGGAAATAGACAAAAAATTCAAACTTGGAACAGTGAAATCATATAATATGAGCAAGAATTCGGCTAGCAATGGTGGCCACAATGGTATGTAGTAAAATGTAAGAAATTAAACTTGAAATCAATAGTGCAATTGAGATGGATACAGCTGTTCCAACTATTGAGACTGATATAAAGACATTCATTATTTCAAAACCATACCAGAGGAGGAAGGGAGAGACGTTGGCCGAAGAAAGAGGTGGAGGAGATTGAGAGACCAGTGAAGGAGCTCTGCAGAGCTGCCATGGCAAAGGGCGTACTTCAAATCCTAAGAAAGAACACACAGCGCGAGTTTTAGAGGATAGGATAATAAACTAGCAAAGCAGTCCAGACAGCCGATCCGACTGACTGGACGGGTCGACTCTGGCCCAATAAAAAAGAGCCTATTCAAATCTGAAACTGATTTTGTTTGAGCCCAATATGACACGGGGTAGGAGTTTTGGGAAAAAGCAGATAAAAACAAAATTGATTCAAAATATATCTTGATTCTTTCTAACAAAATTGGATTGAACGGGATGAGGAGTTCCTAAATAGACCATGTAGTGCACAATTCCTTTGTGGAGTGAGTTCTCGTGGTTTTTTGTCTTGTATTTTTATTAATTTATTTAGTTATGCGGTTTCTTATCATTTGTCTAAATTTTAATAACGAGGTACTCTAGTATGTATTTAATAGAATAATTGATTGGCAATAATCTGTGAATATTACCATAACAATCATATGAAATTACAAACAAGAGAATTTCCACTTCTAGACCTCAAAAAAAGAAGCAGAACAGCGAGAAAACCAGCATTTACACTCTAATTACATAGCCTATGTATCAAAACTTGACAGCCTCTAGTTTTCCTAGAACCTGCTAACATACCAACTCTCTCCCTAAGTTCTTTCTGTATTTGTGTAACTATTAACTCACTATTTACATTCAATTGTCTAAATACTTTCCAATTCCTAGCTTGCCAGGCATAATAGATCATGGCTCCACAATAGAAATAATTAAGGAGTGAAGAAATTAGCTGGGAGATCATTCCTATAAAGGGAAACTAATTAGTAAAAAAAATTATTTTCTATTTTGTAAGAGATCCAGTTGTAAGCTAGTACAGTTCTCAGTTACTATATTTCTTTTTTCTCAAAAAGAATGTATCTTCTAGTGTTACAAATAATTAAGGACTTCAAGAATCAAACTTGCACTTAAATTCCGACAACTTCTTGCCCCTTGCAACCGTGTCAAATTCAAATCCTCTTAGAATACGAAAAATAAAAATAAGTCTCAATTTCCTTCCATAAACACAATAGTACTAGAACTCATTGAGGTAATTCTAGTTCGCCAAGGATCAATTATTTTTAAGAGCCAAACCACAGTTAGTAATACCGGAAGTTAGATGCCATTGTGCTTTCCTGCTAATTCCAGCAAAGTCATATGTAAATCCTACAAATCCAGTCGGAAAAAAGATACTTTTGGCTGTTGAAGATGATATGAACATCCATAGAATTGCAAAATGCCGATCCGGGCTTTTCCCCCTTTACTTCTGTCATTCATTTTACCTCCCACGCGAATTTACAAAAATTTAACAAAATTGGAAAGAAAGAAAGGCTATCTTACACGCAGACTATAACAGATCCTAAATATCCCAATCGAACTCACCAAGGCAAAAGTGTGTTGCGAATGGAGAACCTAACAACCTGACCAATTTTACAAGAAGAAAAGAAGAGGAAGAAGTAAACAGAAAAAATAAACAAATGGAAGAACTGAGTTAAACTTCACATGAGTCAGCAGTGCTGTCAATAGATTCCCCCCGTCGGTGTCCAGAGTTTGGACTCCGATGATCAGGTTGTTCAACATTGATGGTAAACTCCTCTGCTGTTGCAGATGAAGAACGCTTGTGGCGCTTTCTGTCGTGTCTAGATTTGAGTATCCTTGACAGAACCTGCACAATGTCCCTCATGGAAGGCCGTTTCTTGGGGGCACGATTCACACATTTGTATGCAAGTGCAGCCACATCATTAAGCTCTTGCAAATCATACTTCGCATCAAGACGGGAATCTGCAATTTCCTCCCATCCACCTCTTCCATCTGTAGTCATGGCTGCCTACGATCATTAATCATTTGGAGCTTAACTTCTATATTACTGAATAGGTTTAAGAAACATCTGGACAATTAAGGGGGGGGGGGTTGCAAAAGTTGCTCGACAATAGTGCTCACATGTCCCTAAAGCTAGTAGTGACATTTTGAGGAGTAATCCATGCAACAATGATAAGCTAACCGCAGACATGGACTACAGGATGCAGGAACCTTGAAGACTCAGACTACTGGGGTCTGTTTGATTTATGAAACTGCTATTGCATTCTTTTACTATTTTCTCTTATTTTTAGAAAGAAATGCCCAGTGAAATTTTTGTCTGATTTCCTTCATAACTCACCACCATCACCAATTATGTAACAAGGTCCTTGCAAGCTTTTCCACTAAAAACTTGTGCACTCAGAAACAAAAGAGAGTAAACATACAATACATCCAATGTGAAACATGGTACTCAAAACTGAACTATGCAATACAAGAGCAAAGAGAGTAATATCTACTAGAAGCAAAATTCTATTCCAAGTAGATACAATACAGTATATCCAATGTGAAAAACGGACTTATTTGAATCAACATTGAGTGAAAATAAACATATGATGAAGTAATCCAAGTACAACCAGGGAAGACATAAGAGCAAACAAAGATATTACAACAAAAAAAGTAAGGAAAACTAAAAGAAAAGAAAGAAGGCATAAGCAATCTCATAAAGCTGTATATGCTCAAGAAATCATGGGCCCTTAGTTCTCACCATATCATCATCAAAAGATAAAGGGCAGCCCGGTGCACTAAGCTCCCGCTATGCGCGGGGTCCAGGGAAGGGCCGGACCACAAGGCCTATTGTACGCAGTCTCACATCTCATACATCTCATAATGAGGGGGGAGAGAGAGAGAGAGAGAGAGAGAGAGAGAGAGAGAGAGAGAGAGAGAGAGAGAGAGATCTTACTAGTTCAACATACTCGATAAGCCCCTGAAGAGGGTTTCTACCAGCAATAAGTTCAAATAGTAAGACCCCAAAGCTGTAAACATCGCTTTTCTTAGTGAATGACCTAGTTGATATATATTCAGGATCAAGATATCCGAATGTTCCACGGATGTTGGATACATGTTTACTGACCATTTCTTCCCTTGAAAGCCCAAAATCAGCAACCTATGTATTAAACCCAATGATTAGCATTAGCCCGAAATGGCCTTACAGTATGACCGCCTCAAAATCTGCCATTTAATTATCATCAGAACCAAAGAAATCTATGCCTTTTACTTTAGTTTTGGAGAGAAATAAGAAATATATTTGGCAACTGCATACCCTAGCTCTCATTGACTGATCCAACAAAATATTGGATGATTTAATATCCCGGTGTACAACTGGAGGAACTGCCTGAAAAAGGAAATAACGAAGATTAAAGAGGTCAGTGAATGAGCAATATACGGTAGCAGGAGAGTTGCCACTAGGACACGCATGATTCAGAAATTGAGATCCCCAAAAATGTATTTTGCATATGAATGGTAATTTGTGCTTATTTCAAGGATCCGTGGTACAGAAGAGAGATTGGTTGTTAATCATGTTTCAGAAGCATTAAATGCAAATGATGGGAGAAGATTACCCCGTCATGAAGATACTCTAAGCCCCTAGCCACATCAAGAGCAATTTGAACTCTCAAATCCCAGCACAACGGTTCAAGCTTTTCATCTGTCAAAGTAGTTCCTTTGTTAAAAGACTAAACATATTATCATGCATGTGAGAGGTTATCCTGGAAGCAAATATCTGGCGACTTTACAATTGTTTACATTGCTATGAAACTTTGATTGCATGAGTACACAATATGCTAGTCAAAAGACAAATGCCAGTATAACGTGAATCTCACAGAACACAATGGAGAATTTCCAATTTGAGGTGGTGGGATATAGTCATATACAGTCCCTAGTATTCAGTGTATGTGCAACCACAAGTGTCATGAACTGGAAGCGCTAAACTGGGCCTTAGGGAGCCGTGCTATAAACTAATTAAATAGTTTGTGCTGAACGCATACAAATGGAGGACACCTCGGATATGAGAAAATATTGTTCAGAACAGAACTCATTTCTAGACTGCTAGAATATACAGTGGGTAAGCAGGAGACTGACAACACCCAAAACTTAGCTATTGCTGGCAGTAAACTGCTGAAGACTAATCAAGTTTACCCATATAACTATAGTTCAATTTACTGCAAATTAACTTCTTGCGATTTTGGTGATTTGAGAGAGATCTGATAATATGCACAGTTAATTATTGCCTTAATCAAACGATGACCGATATATGTTATTCAATGCAACATATTTGAGGTGAAAAATGCACATCCATGCATGCAATATTTTGTAATATCAACATCAATCAGAGAATGTTTTCAACTTTAGAATGTTGCAGGAAAAGGCATTGTTCAAGAATGCCTCTCAAAGAATTGTTTCTCTTGCCACTAAATCATCAGACAGAGTTCTCCATAGCATACCGTACAAGTGACAAGCCAAACTGCCTCTGCTCATGTAAACGTAGATAAGCATATGCTGACCCTTCTCTGCACAATATCCAACCAAATTCACCAGGTTTCTATGATGTAGCCTTCCCAGTAACATGACCTGTGGAAATAAAAGAAGCTGGAAGTCAATTTATTTTTTATAATTTACAATATAAAATGTAGTTCAGCAATTACAGCATAACACATATGGTTTAGCACAAAATACGAATAAAAGAATGAGGCTCAGAGGATATCTAGAACCCTACTGGATGAAAGGTATTGTTAACTTAAAAGCACTAGAATTTGCCTAAATTTTTTGGTGTGCTGTGGCATTTAGAGAACATTGTACACATTAGGAGGATACAGCAATTTCCTGTCCCCTCTTGCTTAGGATCAGTTGCAAGCACTTCACCAACTACTGAATCAAAATATGAGCGGAGTTAAAGTAAATATCCCCTTCTCTTTTTGTTTGTAAACTGGATGTTTGTTAAAGATCACTAGGGCTTGTAACGCTAGCATGTTCTCTAAGTGATACCTCATGATTTAAGGTAAACATTTTACGAAGTACAAAAAGTAAATAAACTTATTTAGCATTTTCCACGACTACACATATTTATCAACTGGTTGTTTAGTGAACTGGCTTTTCCATATGTTAACGCAGTAAACATGGTTGTTTCCCAGTTCCAAAAGTTGTCAAAATTTATGAGAAATGTTTGAGCAAGGTGACTTGTCAAACAGA